GCACAGCACCATTCCACGTGCTGCCCAGGGACCTTCACACCTAATAAACAGGTGCATAACAAATGGCTCAATATACTTTGCTCACTTTGACAGTATTTTTAAGTTCTGTTGTTGAAACAGACTATGAATATTCAAAAAGGAACAAAACCAAGTGAAACTGCAGTGCAACAGTAAAGTCTCACTGGAAAAGAAACTAGAGGACTGTTACACATTTTGGCTCCTTATCAAATCATACTCCAAAAAAAGACAGAATACACTGCATAACATGGCAGAACTCACTCTCTACCCAACCTACTTGGAATAAACATGTTTTTCCTCTAGAGGAGCCAGTCTTCCCTCTTTAACTGAGGGAACACACTATTACCACAAACTGACACTTCTTCAGCTTCATACCAATGTACTGCAGATTATCAGGTGCTTTTTCTGGCAATAGAAAAGGAAAGATCACGAGAAAGCAAGTCAGGATTTTCTAAAGACTACTCTTTAAACCTTTATGAGCCAATTAAAACAGAGTAATCTAAAATAATGGTACCAAGAAGTGCTCCAAACAGCAAGATTTCTCTCCTCATTTTACCTGCTCTTTTGTCCTACTGCTACAAATTTTAATATATACAAAGCTTTTATTTTTTGAAAACAGCTCCTTCCACCTTTCTTTTTTTTTTTTTTTTTTTTTTTTGTAAAACTGTACAGACTTGTTCCATTTTCAGGAATATCTAGACTTGGTGAGTGAAGCAACCTGATTGGCTTCCATCCAGCTGGTAGCATCTTGAAAGTGATAAAACTCCACGAAGGCGAAACCACGGCTTACACCTAGAGACAGCATTCAGATATAGACGGGATACTTGTGTTAGTCAGTTCCTTTAAAACAGGTGAATCTCTCTCCAACTGCTTCATTACTTCATGACAAAGCAGCTTTACAAATGCGACGTCAACTGCTGGGATCTGCTCGTTATTTTGCCATGGCAAGGAACCAAGCTCCCTCAACTGGCTACATTTCACTCCATGTTTAAAAGGTAACCATGCAACAGACTACATACTAGTAAATGGGTTTATACTATGATTACTTACCAATACCTGTTAACAAAACCCCCTGTAGACAGACTTCTTTTAACATGTTGACCAGCTATCTAAAAGTCTTCCAAAAAGCCACATTCCTTAGCCATGGCAAACTTTTTTTTTTTTTTTTATGGCATGTGTTTGCAGTTTGGGTCTTTTGGGCTTGGGAAGAGGAAGGTGATGTCAAAAACTGGATTAAGAGCTCTCACCTGTCTTTCTTTTCATCAGCCTCACGTCTGCAGGCTGAGGACCTTCAAAGGATTCAATAATCTCGCGAATCTGCATGAGATTTTAATCAGTTACATTTTCACATCTTGGCAGACAGCTGGGAGAGTGACAGAAGCAACCTGACAGTACATGCAAGAAGTACATCAAAACACAACATTCCCACACAGAAAAATAAAACCTTCACAGAGAACCTACCAGGAGACTTATAAGGCACCACAGAACCCATAGTGTCCTTTGCTACATTAAACTGTCATCTTCACTTAGGCCACACAGAATCATCCAGAATGTGAGTCTCCCCCATCTTGTGTTCCAAGGTTATTTGTGCAAGATTTGGCAAATGTCCCACCGCAAAGTTTTTATAAAGAACACTGCTAGGATCCCACTTCCTTCTTATCCAAACATCCCTAGCTCTTCACAAAGCAAAACAAGAATGCTACACTGAGGTTCATGACATAACTATTGTTAAACCTCACACTACAGTTCTCATTCTCTCAGCAGTTCCCTTGTTTTTCAGGAGATAAAGTTGATTTGTGAAGAATGCATCAAAGAAGCTAGAGACATCAGTTCTTCAGCTGTAAGAAAGATGCTTAAGCTGTGTCACAGACTACATAAACTGCTGCAGGAAAAAGGAACACTAACAAATCTTTTAATGTCAGAGCAGAAAACAAAAGCTTTTTCAGCAGCTCTTAGAGAGTTCAAACTACATGACATACAACAGGGCTGCTCAGCAGACTCAAAACTGATCTAAAGCTGCCTGTTTAAGCTGACTGGAGTGGACATCTTCAGTGAAATTGGCTTTCTTTCATGAAAAAAGGTGGGAGAAGCTGAATAGGTACACAACTGGAAGTACCAAAGTAACACTGACTTAAAAAAACCACTTGTAGTTCCAAGATGAATCCATAATTCAACTTTCTCATAAATTATGCTACAGTTATTTGCACAACTATAGACCTATAATATTAATATCCTAGAAGCAAAAACTGTTCCGAAATGTTCTGTGTAACGTCTAACTGGGCTGTCTCATTTGTATGCAGGAGTCAACACCTTATCAACCATAAAAACATTAGGTGAGCACACAGTGATTAAAAGGAACACTAAATAATGGGAGGGTCGTGAATAGCCATGTGAAAAAGAGAGAAAAAAAAAAAATCAACAGCAGAAATAGTGCAAAAGGATTCTCTGTGTCAGCCATCAATGCAGAAAGATCTCAGAGACCAGAGGTGGAATCTTGTCTAAACAAACTGGAGCAGCTCAGCTTTTACAGGACTCCCCCTTGCTCCTAGAGAAATAGCTGTGGGTTTCTACCTTGGAAATCAAAATAATATAGCAAGGGAGGAAAAAAACAATAATAAAAAAGAGAAGGCTCCATGCTGGTCACCTTCAACATCTTTTTAAGTTAGGTAACCATGTACCAAGCTCATTTGTATACTTGCTCTGTCAGCTCCATAGCAGCCATTTTATGACTCCACAGCTGTACCCACACAAACCTGCTTTGTGCAGAGCTGCTCTCTGAGGAGCTCCGTGTCTGTCTGTAACCCCACCAGGCAGAACTTCTGGCCTCAAAGACCTGGAAATATTCAGGTACCTCCTCTCTGACCCTTCCTTTCCCCTCCCGCGGGGGAAGGAGGTGGAGAATAGGGGGGGGAAAGAAGAAAAAAGCCTGCCTCTCCTCCAATAAAAGCAGTAAAAGCAGGTAGTTTAAAATACCCTCTTACGGAAAGCATCCAAGCATGCATGAAAAAAGACTGTTCAGACTGCTCCACGCGAAAGCAGCTGGTTAACATTCATTTGACCTCTGCTACTTAACAGAGGCAGTTTAAACCCTGTTAGGATTCAAAATGGCAGGACCAGCACACTGGAGGGGGGGACTATGATGCAGCTTTCCACAAAATGGCAGCAGCCACTACCACAGCCCTACTGACACAAAGCCGGTGCATGAAAAGCAAAGCCCCTTCTGATTACTTACATCGTTCTCTGTAACCGTAATGGGGAGGCCACGTAACATGATAGTTTTGCTTTCTTTCTCGTCATTAATGTCGTTCCTGTAGTCGTGCTCTCCATAGTCGCCATCAGAATGGTATCCATCTTCCGATTTGTCACTGTTCCTGCGCTCCCGTTCCCTCTGAGAACCCAGCACCCAGAATTAACCACCGCCAATTTCTAGCGGCACGCGCCCGAAATTCAGTAAGAACCAAGCATAACCAAACCAGCTCCCCATACGACCCCCTTCCTCGGATTTGGTCCCGACAGCCTCAGGCACGCCACCAAGCTCAGACCCCTACCCGTGCCCTAACAACCCCTCCCGTGATACCAACCCAGGCACCGGACTCCTCCAGCCCCAGGAGGGCTCTTACGGGGGTCCCGGGCTGGGTGGAGCCCACCAGCCACCGCCTGGCCCCCTCCCCACCCCAGGCCGGCCATTGCTACCCCACGGCTTCAGCGCCCAAGGCTCCGACCCGGCTCGCCTGCCCCACTCACTTCAGGGCTATCGTAATCGCGACTGTCGTAGTCTCTGTCATAGTCTCGGCTGTCGCGACTGTCGTAGTCTCGACAATCCCGGCTGTCGTAGTCCCGGCAATCGTAGTCTCGGCTGTCGTAGTCCCGGCAATCGCGGCTATCGTAGTCGCGGCAGTCCCGGCTGTCGCGACTGTCGTAGTCCCTGCAGACCCGGCTGTCGCGACTGTCGTAGTCCCGGCTATCGTAGTCTCGGCTATCACGGCTATCATAATCTCGACTGTCGTAGTCACGACTATCGTAATCGCGGTAGTCATCGTAGCGGTCACCACGGCGCTCTCCACTGGACCTCTTGCAGTCAGAGTCCCTGCGCCGGCTCCGGGACTCTCGCTCATCACGGTCCTCCCTCTCCACGATAGAGCCGTAGCGGCCACTCCGCTCCGTCCTGCTCACGCTGCGGGTCACACCGAACCGAGCTCAGGAGAACAGACCGCAACGACCCCCACCACTGCCCACTCTGCGGGGCCGCCCGCCCCTTCTTCCCTCTCCATCCACTCCTCCCTCCGCCCTCATGCCCATTCTCACCGTTTGTCCGAGCCCATGCCGCCGCCCGCGACCCGCTAGCACTGAGCGCAGCAACAAACGCCACCACGGCGCTCACAAAACACTGACGCAGGACCTCGCTCCCTCGCCACAAAATGGCGCCGAGGTGACTGGCCGTCTTCTACCCAGGAAACCCCGCGCCTGCCGCCTGGAACGTTCCGGGCTGTGCGCAGGCGCAGAGGGCCGCAGGGCATGCTGGGAGCTGCAGTGCGGGACTGCGCCTCCGCCCTCGCCGCGGCAGTGTCCACGGTGGGCCCTGTCCTTCTGCCACAGCCATCGGGGGGCATGGCAGAAAGGGACCCTCAGAGATCAGTCCCACCTTCAATTCCTTCTTTACTCAAAGCCCCAACCTGCACTGCCCCGGACAAGGCATTCACTGTCTCTGTATGCAACTCAGTCCAGTGTCTCACCCCCTTCATCGCAAGATATTTCATCCCTATGTGTAATTTAAACCCACCTTCTTTCGGTTTAAAACCATTGCTCCTGTCATTGCAGGCCCTGGTAAAAAGGTTCCATATCTCACAAGCCCTCTTTCTCTATTAAAATTCTGCAATAAGCTCTGCCTACAGCCTGCTCCAGGCTAAACAACCACACCGCTCACAGCCTTTCCCTGTAAGCAGAGGTGCTACCGTGTGATTTGGTAGGCCAAGACTGGGCCCATGGTGGGGCCTGGTGAAACCATGGGTTCCTGGGTTCCCTGGTTGTAACCTGCAGTGTGCCACTGCAACCGTAACCAGGGTGACCCCAGCATCCCCAGGTCAGTGCTGCTGCAGCAGTGGCCGAGTGCATGGTGTGCACCTGGCATCCCTGCGTGCTCAGCAGCCTTCATCTTGCTCCCCAGCTGGCAGCAAGAAGACCAGAAGCTGAAGTTTCTGGATGCCGTCTGCACCATCTGCACCACCAGCAGCAAGCACTCCTTCCTGTGGGGCACGCTGCTGCTCTTAAAGCCTGAGCTGGCGGAGAGCCTCGAGGTGAGGGGATGGCCGGTCAGGCTGAGGCAGGGTCAGCGGCACAGCCCTGGGGCAGGGAGTGGGAGCGGAGCGAGCGCTGCTCTGGGGCTGCATCCTTGGCGATGCTCCAGAGCCACCTGCATGGCCCGGCTGCAGGTCCCTTGGCCAGCCTGTGCTCTGTGATGGGTGCAGCCCTTCCTGCTACACGGCTGGGACCACTGCTAATGGTTGGGGGTGCTGGGATGGGCTCTGACAGCCCCCCAGGCTATTGCTGGATGAAGGAGCTGCCCTGTGCTGACCCACCCACGCTGTTGTGCCCCTCAGGTGCTGCTGCAAGAGGAGCCCGTTGATCGCCTGGACACCACGGTGCGGCAGCAAGTCATGCTGACCATCGCTGCCATGAGGTACCTGCCCCATCGGCCCCGTCCCGGGGGCACCCACAGAGCTGGGACTGAGAGGGAGGCAGACAGCAGGGCAGGGGTGGCACAGGGATTTCACCCCTGAGGCCAATGTCAGGGTCAGGAGGGGTTGAGTTGGCCCCTGTACCAGGGGGATCAGCTCAGGGCTCCAGCCCTGGGTCTGCCTCCTCCAAAGAGCTCTTCCATGTCCCTGCAGCAGAGCGGAGCTGCTTCTGGAGGACAAGAACAGCCTCCTGGAAGCCTGCTTCTGCAGCATCTTCCAGCTGCCTCCGCAGGACAGCCAGGGCCCCGGGGCTTGGCTCTATGACAAGGTATGCCATGGGGTGAGCCACAGGGAGCTCCCTGTCCCGAGGCCCCTTCCTGGTAAGAGCAGGGCCACGGCTGCGCTGCTCCCCCAGGCTGCCAGGGCTGCCCTTGAGACCCTGCTCCCTTGCAGACCCTGTCTGCGATGGACAGCATGTTACAGGTGCTGGTGTGCAGCGCCAGAACCCTCGGTGCCCTCGTAAAAAGTATTAAGGTATTGTTTTTGCAGTCGGCCATCAGATGAATGCACTGGTAGAACAAGGCCACAAGATGGCAGTTACCGCGGGAAAACACCGTGGCGGCACCAGAGGCTGTGCCATGTACTGTACCTGCCGCACCGCTTCCATGAGTGGGGTAGGTGGGCTGCGCTGTGCTTGTCGCTGGGCAGGTTCCGGCGGCAGAGAAGGCAGCGCTGGCCTCCCCCAGCCCTACGGCGGGCGACCGCCCGTTACTGCCCGCTCTGCGTCACTCGCAGGGCTCTGCAAACCGGGCTGTACTCCCGGGGTCCGGGCCCTTGGGCGTGGGAGCACACCGGAGGGGCGGGGCCAGTGCTCAGGGGCGGGGCCTACCGCCGGGAGAGCGGCTCGGCGCTGACTGGGCGGTGCCCGTGGCGGGTGAACGCGGTCGTTACCCGAGTGACGCCGCGGGCCGCCGTTAGGAGGACTCCTGGCAGGGGAGGCCGGGCTGCAGCGGCCGTAGGGGACGGGCCGGGGCCGGGGCCGGGGCCGGGGCCGCTCCGCCCCGCCCTTCCTGCACGCCTGCAGCCAGTAGGCGCTGCCGGGGGCGTGGCCTGGCCGCGGGTCGACAGCGGCGTGGGGGTGCCACGTGCGGCGGCAGCATGGCGGCTACGGCGGGCAGCAGGAGGGCCAAGGCCCCGCGCGGGGCGGCAGGGCGGCGGCGGCCGCGGGCTGCGGTGAGGGGCAGGCGGGGAAAGGGGAGCGAGGAGGGACCGCCCGGGCGGGTGGCGGCGCTCCCGTCCCGTCTCCTTCCTGCTGATCACCGCTTTGCGTCCTGCAGGTCACGGGCGCCGAGGGGAGACCGCGGGCGGCGGGCGGCCGGCCGGTCGACGAGGAGGTGTCCAGCGATTCTGAGACGGAATGGTAGGGGCTACGTCGAGGGAGTGAGTTGTGCCGGTGGGGGTACCGGTTCTCACGCGTATCCCCACAGCCTGTTGCAGGAACGGCGGCGGCGGGAGGCGGTGGAGGCGGAGGAGGAGGTGGAGGAGACGCCGCAGGAGAAGAAGCTGCGCTTGGCCAAGCTTTACCTGGAGCAGCTCCGCCAGCACGGTGAGTCCTGCGCGGTGTCGGTGCTGCGGCGAGGCGGCCCCGGGCGCTGAGCACGGCCCTTACGAGCTGTGTCCGCTGCAGAAGAGGAGCTGGCGGAGGAGGAGGAGGAGACCCAGCAGGCGGATCTCATCGGCGAGCGGCTGAAGGAGGACGTGGTGAGCAGGGGGCGGGTGCGGCCCCTCCATCCCGGTGGCGGCTGGCTGCGGGGCCGGGGCCGCCTCCGCTGAGCTCCCTCTTACTCCCCAGCTCGAGCAGAAGGGCCGGCTGCAGCGCCTGGTCGCCAAAGATGTAAGTGCTCAGCACGGGGTTACCGGAGTGTAAATGCTGGCTTGGAGGGACACTTGGTCATGGTCATGGCTGGCACCCCGAGTTGCTGTGCTGGCTATGGGACCAGAGCCCTTCTCCCACCAGGGGTGCCAGCTGCTGGCACCCTGAGGAAGGGAGGGTGCCGTGCTCGGGTACTGTGCCTGGGGCTGGAAGGGCCAGAGCAGCCCAGTTTACATCCTGCTCTCCTTGCAGGTGCAGCCTCCGGATCCAGCCAGTATCCGTGTGTTGCGGGGACACCAGCTGCCTGTCACCTGCGTGGTTATTTCTCCAGACGATAGGTTCATCTTTTCTGCTTCCAAGGATGGCTCTCTCATCAAATGCAAGTGTTCTCTTGAGGCTGTGACTGGCTCTTCCCACAGCAGCAGGGCCATAGGTGCCCACAGAGGTGGCTTGGCCCTTGCCCCCTCCGTGGACGTGCACATGTATGTCTTTGGACTCTGTGAGAGGCTCCCATGGGGTGACGATGATGCCTTACCCGCAGGGGAGGTGGAGAGTGGGAAGAAGCTGTGCGTGGTGCCCGGGGGGAAGAAGGGCACCGAGAAGCAGCACATGGGCCACGCGTCCCATATCCTCTGCATGGCCATCTCATCAGATGGCAAGTACCTGGTACGGGGAGAGGGGGCTGGCATTGCTGTGTGGGACAGAGAAGTGGCTGTGGAGAGTGCATCCCTCCTGCAGTCCTGGGGGGAAGTGTCTTATGCCTGGATGTACTTTGCTGGGTAGAAGCAGACCCTTCCCCCACTGGAGTCAAGAATGGGTCCCTGGGAGCCACATGGGCAAAGGAATGGAGGCTGGGGTGGGCTGTGGGCCTGCAAGAGGCAGGCGTTGGGCATTCTCTGCTGTCTGGCAGGCCACGGGAGACAGGAACAAGCTGATCATGATCTGGGACACAGCTACCTGCAAGCGCTTGCACATCTTCACTGGGCACCGGGACGCTGTCTCAGTGAGTGAGGGGCATCAACCACCCTGCCTGCAGGGCCGGGCAGCCGTGTTCTTCCCGGTGCCCCTCATTGCTGGGTCCATGTCCGTCCATCTGTCTGTAGGGCCTGGCCTTCCGGAAGGGCACGCACCAGCTGTACAGTGCCTCCCACGACCGCTGTGTAAAGGTCTGGAATGTGGCGGAAAACGCTTATGTAGAGACGCTGTAAGACCTGGCTTGGAACCCCACTGACCCTGCTGCCATGGGATGCACCAGCGGCGCCAGGAGAGGCAAGGCTGCAAAGGGCCATGCTCCCAGCAGCTCTTTGCAATCTCCTTCCCCAGGTTTGGGCACCAGGATGTCATCACGGGGCTGGACAGTCTGAGTCGGGAGTGCTGTGTGACGGCAGGGGGACGGGACGGCACCGTGAGGCTCTGGAAAATCCCTGAGGAGTCGCAGCTCGTGTTTTGTGGGCACCAGTAGGTCGGGCAGGAGCAGGGCCTGTGGGCAGGCAGCATCAGACTGGGAATGCTGATGCCCCAGTGAGCCCCTGTCTCCTAAATACTATCCCAAACATGTTCCTAACTGATAGCAGTTGCCTCTTCTGTTCAAAGGGGCTCCATCGACTGCATCCAGCTCATCAATGAGGAGCACATGGTGTCGGGAGCTGATGATGGGTGAGCACAGGCCCAGGATGGTGCCTGGGGGACGGGGCAGGACGTGCCCCACTCAGCACCCTCACTCTGCCCTCCTGGCAGGTCCGTCGCTCTGTGGGGGGTGACAAAGAAGAAGCCACTGGCACTGGCCCGGCAGGCGCACGGCATGCAGGATGCCCAGGGCCTGCAGCAGCCGTACTGGATCTCAGCGGTGGCTGCCCTGCGCAACAGTGACCTCCTGGCTACAGGTGTGTGGCGGCTGCGTTGGAACAGGGGCTTGGGGAGTGTACGTGTGGAGACGTCCTGCTCCTGTGCCCAGCTGGGTTGCCTGACAGTCTCCTCTCTCTGCCCCAGGGTCCCACAGCACCAGCGTGAAGCTCTGGAAGTGCAGTGAGGGATTTCGGAAGCTGGAGCCTCTCTGGGACATCCCCTTAGTATGGATGGGGAGGTTGGGGATGCTGGGGGGGAGTGCTGTCTTCTCGTGGGGGTTCCCCTCCCTGGGTGGCAGGAGGAGGCTGTGGGAGCCCTTCACCTGCCTTGTTCCCTCCAGGTGGGTTTTGTCAACAGCCTCAAGTTCTCCGCAGCTGGTGACTTCCTGGTGGCCGGCATCGGGCAGGAGCACCGGTACTGTCTCCCCTGCCCAGCACTACCCAGGGGTGCAGCCCCACCTGCTGCAGTGCTTGGCTGGGGTTACCACCATCTCTTTCCTCTGTAGGCTCGGCCGGTGGTGGAGAATCAAAGGAGCTAAAAACAGCGTCTGCATCATCCCACTGAAACAGAGGGCCACAGTTCCCAGCCTGGAAGGCCCTGACAGCTCTTAGCATGGCTGGAGCCAGGTCCTTAAACTGCTGTCCCTGGAGCTGCGCCCTGTGTTCTTCATGCAACCACCTTGGAACAGCAGCCTGTCAGAGAGGGCTGTCGCATAGCCCCTTACCCTGCTGCTCCCCATGGTGTGCCGTGGCTCTGCCCTCGGCGAGGGTCTATCCCCTTCCCTCAGGTTCAGTCATACCTGAGCTCTGGAAGAGTCCATTAAAAAAAACCTAAACAACAAAACCACTTTATTTACATAAATTACAAAAAGAAAAGTCACACTCTTGTTCACAGAATAAATCTACTCTTAAAAACTTGTTCGGGCTCAAATATCTGGGTCCCATTACTTGCCTTCAGCCGCTGCCAGCCCCCCCTGTGGCTTTTGGGGGGACAAGGGGCAGTGGGCGTTCGTCCCTACTCCTGCCCTTTCTCCCAGGAAGGTGGGGAGCAGCACCCCACACAGTGAGGGGAGGGACAGAGGGAGCTTGGGCCCAGGCCAGCAGCGCTCAGCAGCTTTCCTGGGGCCAAAAACGAGGCGGAAAAGGTGAAGCTGTGCAAAGTGCCGGGGCAAGGGTGGCATGGGGCATGGCTGGATAACAGAAAGGACCTGCAGCAGGAAAGCAGGGTGGGTGATAGGGTGAGAGCAGTGTATGCCAGCACAGGGCTTGCAGTGGACGGAGCAAGAAGTGCAGCCCGAGAGGAGTGGGACTTGCAATAGGGCTTGGACAGACAGTTGGGTTGTGCGCTATGGCTCAGTGCAAGGGATGTGGAGCAGGGCTGGCACCACAGTTTGGTGCAGATACAGGGATGTGCCCGACAGCTCAGTGCAAGGGATGTGGGGGACACTCACCATGGCTCAGTGCAGGGATGTAGGGGTGCACAATGGCTCAGTGCAGGTAACTTGGAGGGATATGCACCGTGTGTCAGTGCAAGTGGCAGGGGCACATACATCATGGCTCAGTTCAAGGACTTGGTATGTTCACCATGGCTCAGTGCAGGGGACTGGGGATGTTCACCACGGCTTAGCGCAGGGAACACATCATGTGGTTCAAGTGCAAGGGAAGGGTGACACGTACCATGACCCAACATGTGGAATGCGTAGCTTGTGCTGGGGCAGGGGCTGAGCCTCCTGCCTGCCTCTGGCACCTGAGCAGTCTGTGCTGTGTTACAGGCACTGCTGTCCTTGAGGAGGGAGCCGGGTGCAGGGTGGCCGCACCATGGCCTGGTCCCCCTGTCCTTCACAAGGATGACGTTGTGGAGTCCACCACCTCACGGCCGTTGCACACTGTGGGCACATACTGCGAGGCAGAGCCTGGCAATGAAGGAATCAGTTAGGGGCAGTTTGGGGTCTGGCAGCAGCAACCCACCCTCAGGGCATCCCACTCCGGTGGGAGATGGGTGCTTGGGGAGCTGCATCCCTCAGGGCTGGGATGGAGAGTATTTGGGGTGGCCATGTCCCCTCAGGGCAATGACAGGCCCCTGGGCACAGTATCCCCCCTGGCAGGACGTGCTGCAGTCTTGGGGCTTGCATGCATGAGAGGTGAGAGACTGGGACAGTCTATAGGGAGCGCAGCATCCTTCACACTCCCATTTTCAGCCACAACCTACCCTGCACCCCACTTTCCTTCAGGGGCTCGTGCTGGGGTGCTCCTGCCCCCTCCAGGATGGGGGTGCTGCCACCCAGCCCTTCCCCAACCCCACCATGCTCACCATGGGACTGGCTGGAGCTGGCGGCTGCCACGCTGAACCGAGCAGTGCCCACACGGTGGCTGGCCACATTCTTCTGCGGCTGGAAGAGTATGATGTGAAGCTTGGGGGTGAAGAGGCAGCCGAGGACCACAGTGCCGCTGAGGCTCACTGAGATGCACATCGTGGTGGTCTGGACCTGGAGACAGGGGTGGGCATCAGGTGCTCCTGCCACCAGCCCTCTGCCCAGGGGCAGGATGAAGCCTTCACTGTAGACCAGCCAGCCCCACCAGTTAGGGGCTGCTGCCTGCACCCCACAGGGACAATCCCACCCCACCCCAGGTCCCTCCATCAGGGTGGACCCACAGCAGAGGATGGGCACTGCCCTGATGGGGACATGCTGCCCCTGCAACCCTGAGCAGCACCGTCTGCCCTGCCAACAGGCTGCTTTGGGGCAGTGGTCAGGGCCAGAGCCCAGCACCACCACCCCAGTGCCCGCTCCCACTGAGGAGCGCAGGTCCTCTCGGGAAGCCCCCAACTGCAGCTGCCCCCACCAAGTCCTCCAGGCCTGGCAAGCACATCCTGCCTTGGCAGGTGGGTTGAGGTGCTGCAGGGTGTGCCGTGTGCTCCCCTGTCCCTGGCACCGTGCTGGCCCTGAGGCTGGCTTTCATGCCCTGTTTGGGGGAGTATCAGTATGGGCCAGGGGCATTCTCATGCCTTCATGTTGCAAGGCTGGAGGATGGAACTCACTCTTCTGTGGTCAGGTCAGGGGTCTCTGGAGGTCTCAGGTCCATTTTCCTTCCTCACCCTAGCAAACAGTCTGTCAAGGAGGGGTTGGTGCCTTCTCCCCAGGACTCATTGCCCCTTCAGCCATACTTCACCTGGTCCCAAACTCCCCCGTGCAGAGGTGACCATCACCAAGCCTGGAGTTTAAGACCCTTCTCCAGGCCCATGCAATCTCTAGTCACAAACCCCATGGGGCCCAAGTGGCCGTGACCACTCAGAGCAAGCCCTATTAAAGCCCCCTAAAACGCAGGCTCTTACACGATAGTCGCTGGAGGTCACATAGAAGATGGGCAGGAAGGCCAGCCAGATGATGCAGGTCGTGTACATGGTGAACCCGATAAATTTGGCCTCATTGAAGTTTTCAGGGCATTTCCGTGTCTTGAAGGCATAGACCGTGCAGAGGACAATCAAGAGGACATTGTAGGTGAGTGAAATGAGCATGTTGGAGTCACGGTTGTTGCACTTGAGGGTGACGATGTACCTCTTGTCAGGCTCTGTCTCCTTGCCGGTGCCAGGGGTTTCCACCAGCAGCCAGATGATGACAATGATCAGCTGGCAAGAGATGAGGGCCATGCAGATGACTACCTGTGATGTGGGGCTTATGAACCGGGGACGCTGGACCCCCTCCTTCACCCCACTGAAGATCCTAGCAATGCGATTTGTCTTGGTCAAGAGGGCTGAATAGCAGACAGCAAAGGACGTGCCCAGCCCCAGGCGCCGGAGTGTGCACACCTCAGTGGAGGGCTTTGCAATGAAGATGAAGGTCATGCTATAGCACATGAGGACCCCGGTCAAGAGAATGTAGCAGAGCTCCCGGCCAGAGGCCTTCACGATGGGGGTGTCATTGTTCTTCATGAAGACTCCAAAAACAAAGAGTGTGGAGATAAAACCCAGGCAAGAGATAGTGACGGGACCTATGGCCCAGGCATCTTTCCAGCGGATGTACTCTTGGGGCAACTCATAGCAGCCATTCAGGGTCTCATTGGGCCAGTAACCAAGACCGCAGTCCATGCAGGTGAACTCGTCCAGCAAGTACTCATAGGGCTGGCAGGGGATGCAGATCCAGCAGCATATGTCTCCAGGCTGCATGCTCTTTATCTCATTCTTCTTGCAGGGGTCGCTGCACTGGGAGACAGGGATGGAGGCCTCAGCCCATGGGATGAGGCTGGTGTTGAGGATAAGCCCCTCAGCCCAGTAGCCCACCTTCTGGTACCGATACCGCCCATCCATGTGCTGATAGTTGAAGATGTTGTAGCGCCCGATCCCATCGCCGTAGCGATCAAATCGAACAACGCTCTTGGTGTCTGCTGGCCTGAAGGGAGCTAGAGGGAGGAGAAGGGGAGATGGTCACTGTCATGGGGCAGGACAGGGCTTGCTCCTGGCCTGGAGGAAGGGCTCCTTCAAAGGGTCACATGCCACCATGGCCACAGGCAAATGCCAAACCTGTTCCCTGCCTTCACTCTCATACTTGCTGCCCATGCACATGTTAGGGGAAAGAAAGCAAAGGTGGAGAACAGCCTCCTCATGTATCTAACAGCTCAGCAGCCTCAGTCAGATCTGCAGGGGCAATGCGGGGATTTTCAGTCTCTGGGCCTGTCAGTGACACCAGAGTAGCTGGACTCAACCCAAGCCACAGAGGACACTCTTCTAATTCATTCCAAACTGTGTGGGATCCTAATCAAGGGTATCCCTCCAGTTTAATCCCCGAAATGTGAATAATCACAATGCTTGCAAGTGAAGTCTCGAAGGACCCATATTCTCAGAGGGTCTCCTGTGGGACTGATCCCACCTAGCTAAAGCATGATGGATTTGGTCACCAGCTTCTCTGCAACAGGGACAGAAGGCCTGGGTTGCCTCCCACCATAGACAGTGGGCTGTTGTCATCCTGGGACAATCACAGCCCGCAGCACAGAGGTCCCCAGGTTGGGGAAGGCTGGAGGACTTGGAGGGCCTTGGGTCAAATTTAGGTCTCTTCCTTGCCCCACAACCTGCCCCTTTCCAATTAGGCAGCCAAACCCCATCTCCGTCTCTGGACTCACCATCAAAATTAACATTGAGCATAAAGTCCTTGTAGAACCTCTTGCCATTGACAGGCTTCATGGCATCGCAGAGCTTGGTGGCGTTGGGGCACAGTGCCTGGTGCATGTTGTGGAGAGAGTGAGCCATGGCGTAGACTGCATTGACCACAAATGTGATCTTGGACTCTGGCTCAAACTTGCCCGTCTTGAGGGAGTACCAGCTACAGTCCTGTGTGTGGAAGCTGCACTTGAACTTCTGCTCCCAAAACTCCCGAAACCAGGGATTTCGGCTGTTATTGTAGGGGTTAAGGTTGCGGAAATAGGCAGCAAACTCCTTAATGGGGTAGGCTGCCAGCTCGATGGTGATGGCTCCCTCTGCCACTTCTTCGCTCCCAGCCACCACACTCTCCAGGGCCCCCCATCCATCACTGGCCACCCACATGAAGGACACGTTGGCTCTCTGGGCAGCTGCCAGCAGCTCCCGGGCATCTTCGCTTCGGGTGAACAGCACAACCACCCGGGCATTGGGCTTCTGCTGCAGAGCTCGCACCACGCTGTCGTAGGTCTTCTTGTTCATGGAGCGCCCCACCTTCTCCGAGGTGGCAATGCAGATGTTGCGCATGCGGGCTTCTTGCTCAAAGGCCTCGATCCCTGTCTCCCCATAGTCACCCTCTGAGGCCACGGTGGACACATAGGTCCAGTTGAAAAAGCGGAGGATCTCTGCCATGGCTTTGGCTTGGTAGAAGTCTGGTGGGACAGTGCGGGCAAAGTAGTCATAGCGGGACTTGTCACTGAGCTTGGCGCTGGTGGAGGCATAGCTGATCTGCGGGATCTGAAAGAGCCGCAGCAGGTTGGCCACCTGCATGGAGGAGGAGAGGTGAGTGCCTCAAAACACGGGCCAGCGAGGGGCATTCTCACCAGAGAGACCCCTGCCCAACACCAAACGGTGCATGGTGCTCCCGAGTACCACCATGGGGCGGATGAGCAGCCTCCCCACACCTGGAAGATGCTGGCTGGCAGACAGATGGATGAACGCACATTCACAGGCATGCCTGAGCCCTCACACATGCTTATTTCTATTTGTTTTCCTATTTCATGCACCCTCCTCTGAGGTGCAGTGCTGTGAAGGGAGAAACTCTCCCACAGGCAACCTGTGCGAGAGCCTCATGGGCAAGGAGAAAGCTGTGGAGCCTGGCTGGCCCACAGCATGGGGGGAAAGGGCTCTGGGCTCTGGGAGCCAGGGGCACTGAAGAGCTGGGCCTGAGGATCAGTGCCTGCACACCTTGCCTTGGGGGCCCAAGCAGGACTGACACTTCCCATCTGCTTAGCAAAAGTCCTTATTAGCTTCAAAGGGGAAAAGAGCCCTGCAATGAGGCTGTTAAAAACCCAGCCTCTTAGAGCAGCAAGGAAGGGGCTTGGGCATACAGCAGGGCCAGTGAGCCTGCCCACATCTCACTGCTCCCAAGGAGATAGATGTGGCTGAACTAACATGGACAAATGCTCTCCATGACAGAAGTCCCCTAATGGCAAGAAGGCCCCCGAGCGCAGCAAGGCTGCTGCCTGGTCTCGCTGCACAATGGGACCTGTCAGCCCACTGTGCCACCCCAGCACTGCTCACCCTCCCTGGCTGGCTATGGGCTGCCCATGCCACCACCTGCCTGCCCACGGTCAGGATGGTGCCCTCAGCCATGGGCGCACACCAAGTCCTCCATCAAGGGAAGGGACGTGCACCCACACGGACTGGACCAGCATGCTGCATCCATCACCTGGCCCCAGCTTCCTTTGCCCTATGGCCAGGAGGACGTGGGGACCCTGGGGACCAGCAGGTATGGCGCGACATGCACTGGAGACTTGTTAAATCCTAGCAAGCACATGGCCCAGCAGCAGCCCCAAGGACTCGGCTGGCTCCGCTGGCTGCCTGCATCCTCAGAGGATGCTCTTTTCCCTGCCAAAGCCCCTGGGTCTGCAGAGTTGCAGTCTTGGGTACTGAGCTGCACCCCCCCCAGGGTGCCTGTTCCTGTGGGGACAGGCGGATGGTGGCCCTCTGCCCTGGCCCTATAGCCATAGCCATAGGCTGAGCCTTTCAGAAGCGGTGCCCCTCACAGCTGCCTGCACCTTGCAGGGCTGGGTTGGGGGGCAGAGGGAACAGTGCCCTTCCCTCTCGGCAGCTCTGCCTGCCAGGATCAGTGTTCCCACACCCCCACCACAGTGTCCCTGGCACCATTCTGACATCAGGAGTGTCACTGCCATGCCAGGGCATATCCTTGCACTCAGACCTCCACTCATTCCACACAGGACAGGACACACAGGACTGATGATGAGCCGAACCCTCCTTCTGCACCATAACAGACCCCAGGGACAGCCACCCACTGGCAGCGGCGAGGGAAGCAGCAGCATGGTGGCACCAAGGGACTGCGTGAACCTGAGCATTGAGATTGTCCTGGGCTCAGGAGCTGCACCTGCTGCCATAACCCCGCGAGGGGAATAAAGCCCTGTCCCTGTATGGAACAGATCCACCGGCTTAGCTCCCATGGCTTATAGTGGATGGGGGGCTTCCCACAGCTCCCAAGGGGATCCCCACAGCTCCCAAGGGGATCCTGCCCACCGTCAAGGCTGCAGGTTCCCCGTAGTAGCAGAGAAATGCCCCTCTCAGGTGCCAGGCTGCCATTCCTTCCCCACTGCAGAAAGGGGCACAACATCACTGTGAGGGATGCAAGAGCGTCCCTGTGCCACACTGGCAGTGTCATCACTGCACTGCTACCAGGGTTCTAACCCACCCGCTGCCATTCCCACCAGCCCCCCAGCCCCATCTGAGCCCCTCTTGCCCAGGGTACCTGAATGGAAACGTCACTGTAGGAGCCGCCAATAACGCCGGTGATGGCAGTGGGCACGTCATCATGAACAGCATAGGAGCCATCGGGACAGATGTGCTCAGAGCCATCCACCTTGGTGAGGGAGGCGCGGACGAAGTCGAGGGACTGCTCAAGGGCATAGGTGTCCTTAGAGCAGGTGTCGAGGATGTGGGCACCCAGCTTCACCCCGGGCAGGATGCTCCTGTCCTTGTTGATCTCATCCAGGGCAAAGAGCATGGCCTCCAGGCGCTGGATGCCCCGGTGCTCATTGATCTTGCCACAGTCTTCACTCCCCACTCCCTTCTCATGGACGGGGAAGAGGCCCCCGATCACCAGGTCCCCATCCATGCTGATCTCCTTCTTGCCAGCCGTGCCATGCCCCGCAGCCAGGCAGGTGGCCAGGTGCATCAGCCACAGCCAGGCGCCCAAGGGGACTGCCATGGGGTGTGTTGGAACCGGCTCTCCACCCCTTGTCACCGGCTGCCAGCTGTCAAGGCAAGGGCAGGCTGTCCCCAGGCATCGGGCGGTGGGGACAGTGTGGCGTGGTGGCAGCGGGGGGTGTCCTCCCCCCAGCACAGCCTCAGCACCTGGGAAAGTAAAGAAGAAAGCGCTGGGTCTTTAGGCTGCGAGATGGGACTGGGACTGTGCCCAGGGACGATGCCAGGGCTGCACGTGCAAGGGCTTGAGCTTGTCCATGCGCCCCAACCCTGTATCCGGGTTGGAATCCTGTCTCAGGTTTTCCTTAGGAAGGGTCCCCCCACAGAAGGGTGAGCTGAGCAGTAACCCAGGACACCCTCAAGCGGCACAAACCCCAGGCGACAAGCAGAGGCGCAGGGACTCGTCCTTACAGCACTCCTTGGGATGCACTGGCGTGGGCAGGGGATGCACAGAGCTCATTCCTGTGGCAGCACCGGGCTGAGCAGCCTGCCAGGGGGCAGATTGCTGGCCCCTACAGCGCAGAGACAGGTAAGTAGCCAGGGTGGTCACCCGTGGCAGGGATATCACCAAGGGCAGGGCCAGCTCCAAGCTGAGCCATGCAGCATCCTGAGGGGTGCCAACAGCTCCCAACCTCCAGCCAAAAGCAACTGGCCATGAGCCCACTGTGTCCCCAGCACCCAGCCACCACTGTATTTTAATGCCCATTCCACACTCCTGGAGCCCACTGCCTTGGCACTGACCTCGGTGCTGGCCATGGCACCGGGGCCAGAGCAGGGACATGCTGCTGGCTTTGTCCTCCCGCAGTGATGCGCGGGGTGGGCTCCAGCAGCCGTGGTGCCTTAGAGCCTGTTCTCTCACCACCGCCCCTTCCTTCTCCGTGTACTAAATTCAGAGATTTCAGTAAAAGTAAGAGCCAGGTTTGCTGACTCCCTCTGCAGAAAGCACGGAGGCGCGGGGGAATCAAAGGCTCTTGCAGCAGGCAGGCCTTGTTTTGGCAGGAGATGCAGCCCCTTGGAGAGCAGTTGTCTTTTCCCAAGCCACGAGAGAGGTTTGTTTCCCATTCAAAGCTGCCTGCTGGAATCCCACAGAGCTGATGTTCCGGGAGCCATGGGAGAAGGATACCCCCTGACAGCCCAGAAAGCTCAGGCTGCTTCAGCACGGAGAAGGGCCAGTGCCACAGCAGGTCCTGGGGCTCACCTGCAGCCTGGCGTAGGAGGGTGCTCATGGGAACACACGGGTGGGAGATGGGGTGATGCTGGAGGGTGCCACCCCCCTGTACCTCCCTGCAGCTAGGACCAAGGCTGCTCTCCATAAGCAGGAGCAGGACAGCCCTCGATGGCCTTGTGGTGCTCCTGGACAGGCAATGCCTGGCTGGAGGAGCCCTTCAGCAAGCCTTCCACAAGCTGGAGCTGGTGGTGATGCCCTGGGCATGCATGTGGACAGACTTTGGACATGGAGCATAGCAGGGTGGGTGGGGAGGTGCACACAGACCTCCTCCTGCTACATGACCCAAAGCACCTGCCCTGGGTGCTGCCTGCCTGCAGTGAGCCCCCAGCCAGCTCAGGGCATCTCTACCTGACCCCCAAATTGAAGTTCAGGAAAGAGACCACAGAAGGGTCTCTTTCTTATTTCTGTCAGTCAATGCCTTTGAGGGACCCAGGCTTCCTCAAGCAGGAAAGAGCCTGGAGGCATATGGATTATTGATGGAACACATCAGGCAGCACAGGGTGGCAGCAGCACCGGGAGCCCAGCTCCTTGGGGTCCAGCTCTTCTGGGGCAGCTGGCAGCAGCCACCAGACAAAAGGCACCTTCAGGTAAAGCTCTCCCAAAAGGGCAAAGCATCACCCACCCTGCAGTGAGCCCTGAAGTGAAGGGTTGCAGCCATGCCCAGAGCTGCTCAGCTGGGTTGGCCATGGGAGGATGCAACATCTGGAGAACATCTGGAAAAGTGAAACACCAGGCAGGGCACAGCGGATTCCAGCCCGAAGGCCGTGGTGTGGCGGGAAGGCTCCTGCCCACTGCTGGCAGCCTCCCCTCCAGAAAGCGCTGGTGAGTAGGATGGGTGAGAAAGGGGCCGATGCTCCTCCATGCCCCCTACCTACACCTGCCAGGAGACCTGACCCTCTGACACCAGCACTCTTAGGGGTGGCATGGGGCACGATGAGAGTGCTGGCAGGGTGCTAGGTGAGCCCGGCTTCACGAGCTGCCATCACCACCTCCACTGGGGGCCCCCGGAAGCCCCACTACCACCAAGCTCTGCCAGGACCCCTACTCCTCCCTTCTGCCCCACGGCCTGCGAGCCCCGTGGGTCAAACAGCCTTCCCTGGGGCGTCTGTCCCAGTGGCCACCACCGCTGTGGCCATTCGGCTGCTCTGGTGGGAGTGCGGGGAGTCAGGGAGGTGAGAGGAGGTGAGGGGGACCTGCCCCACTGCAGCGCCCCACTGCAGCGCCCCACCGGTCTTGTCTTCAGCCCACCCACCCCAAACCCCATCCCAAACCTTCCGGGGGTCCGGCTGCTCCCAGCAAGACGCTGCTCTCCCCAGCCTGGATCCGCCAGAGGAGAGACCCGAGGGGCAGCGGCAGCGCAGGGCAGTCAACCCGCTTCCCTCCCCGGCGAGGGCGGGCAGACCCTGCCCGGGGCCGGGGGCACAGCTGGGTCCCTCGGGGGTTCGGCGCTGCTGGGGCACCGGGGCGGGAGGATGGAGACGGGCTGAGCTCTCCTCCCGGATCCCCGCGGTCCGGCGTCTTGCTCCGGGCATTGGAGAGCCATGGGGACCGGCCTCGGTGCTCCCCGCCCGCACCCTCGGCCCAGCCGGTGCCAGTGCCCGAAGCGGGGCTCCCAGGGCTGCGGGAGGGAAGCCGAGCCCGGGCACCCGCACTGGCCGCCGAGACACGCCGGGTCGCGGTCAGCACGGCTGCGGGGGTTCGCCGGTCGCCCAGGGCACCGGGGCTTTGGGGATGACGGGGCACGACGCTTCCCGGGGCCAAGGGAGCGGCAGGGTGGGAGCGCAGCCCTTACCTGGGCTCCAAGGGCTGTGCCGAGAGTCGGTGCCGGGAGCCGGAGCCGGTGACCGGTGCAGAGGCTGCCACAGAGCTGCGGCTACCGCCGCCTCCCGCCGCCGCCTCTGACACTCCGCCAGCCCCAGCTGAGCGGAGCCGCTCCGCCCTCCTCCCGGCCCGGCCCCGGCCCCGGCCCCCGCCCCGGCCCGGCGGGTACCGGCACCCCGGGGCAGTTCCGCCTGTTCCCCGCCCGCTCCCGGCACCGCCGCGCAAGGCACCGGCAACGCCGGAGGCTGGCGGGGCTTGGGCAAAGCCGGGGAGGACATGGACGGACCCAGGCAGGGCACAGGTAGGACACGGCCAGAGAAGGCGGGGTACAGGCAAAGCAGGGGTGGCTCAGGCAAAGGATGAGCAGCCGGAGCCAGGGCACAGACAGAACTCAGCCAGACGCAGGCAAGGAGTGGCCAGATCCAGGCTGGGCAGAGGCAGGACCCGGCCAGAGCAGGCAGGACCCGGCACGGCACGGCACAGCTCAGCTCCTACTTCCCCAGCCCCGTCCCAGCCCAGCAGGAGGGGGTCCCAGCTTTCGTCCTGCTCTACAGCCACCACCTGGTGTCCCTGGGGCTGTTCCCCCGCCGCCTGACACAGACACCCCCCGCCCCGGCCCCCTGTTCTCCAAAGCCCTGGTGGTCTTCCCAAGCTCCAGCATCACCTCACTGCCTACCTGAACTCCTCACAGCCCCCAGGCACTCGTCATTGGCCCAAGGACCAAGCTGGGGCAGAAGGCTTTGGACAATTTGAAGACAGGGGCAGAAGCTGGATTAAGTGTTCCAGGTCTCCACCACTTGTCCAAACCTTCTCTGGAGCCATTGGGCTGCGCAGGATCCCGCCATGCTGTGTCCGTTGTGTGCTGGCATCCCAGCTGTCCCAGAGAGCTCCTGACTCAGGGACAAGAATGGGACAGGCGATGACACAAGGACCCACAGGGATGGGAAGGGGCCAGGGGTGCTCTGGGGCACCACCCTGTGCCTCAGTTTCCCCACTGCCAACTGCTGTGCTTGTAGGCTGAAGCCTAGAGCACGGCAGGAAGTCAGACACAGTCTGGCCCCCCCCCAGCAATCCTGATTTGTGACAAGGACCCCCAGGGCCCATGGCACCAGGTCCCCAGACCCCACCATCCCATCTTCTTTCAAGATCCTTAGCGCAGATGGAGTGGGGCACGGGGGAGAGGAAGGTGCCCGGGTTGGAGGACCTCGGACAGTGAGCCAGGCAGGGTGGGCCGGAGGTGTGCTATACTGGAGGATGCTGCACTGCCACCGCCCCTTTTCCCTGCCAAATGGGACCTGGCATGAGCCCTATCACTGGCTGCATCCTCTGGCTGCTGAGGGAGGATGATGGCAAAGCCTGTCTGGCCCCCATCTGTGGTGGGGTTAGGGGACAAGTGGCATTAGGATCCGCTGCCTGGCTCCAACCCCCCTGGAGCCTAAACCAGACATAAATATTTCAGGGGGCTTGGCAGTTTTGTAATAACTGGCAACAAAGATAAACACTGTGAGGAACAATATTCTTCCATGTGGGCTGGAGGAGTTTAATATTTTATCACTCAGAGCACAAAATATTTATGAACAATTTCACGTCAATCACTGGCTGAGGACTAATCATGACCTTGCCAAGCCAGGGAGGACATATCCCCCCCACGGAGGGACAGCCAGGCCTCCCCTGTCCCTAATACCACCACCGCAAGCCCTGGTTTTGGGCCACCACATCTGACTGCCAGGGAAAAAGCCCTGGGTTGCCAGAGGCACCGGGATTCCTGGCGCAGGGGTTGAGCTCTGCCAGCCTGGTGAAGTGCTCTGGCACCCAGCATTGCTGCAGGGCACTGTGAGGGTCTCCCCTTTGTCCCCAGCTGTGGGACAGGGACTTGGGACCAGCCTGGGCAGCCCTGTCTGCAACCCATGGCTGCAAGACCACAAAGATGGGATGCCAGGAAGGCATTGCACAGGCAGGAGAAGCACAGTGGTGCCAGGCTCACCAGCAGCCCAGGACCTGTCTTTACTGGCTTTCCTTTTGTCAGATTCCCAAAAGGAGTGGGGATGCCATCTCCCTCAAGCCCAGCTCAGCTCATCACTGAGACCCTTCCCTGCTCACCCTGCAGCTTGCAGAGCTGGGGATGGTCCCCGTGGGCCTGCTGGGTTGGCCATACATGGAGCAAATCTGAGCATGCTTGCTCATGGGATGCAGAGCCCTCGGAATGCTCCCCAGCTCAGCTGGGGGATGTGGGGTGCAGCCCACTGCAGCCTCCCCCCACAGCCTCCTCCCCCCATGATGGGCCAAGAGGCAGTCAGCAATGCCACCGGCCACCAGTGAGGAAAAGCATCCACTTTATTACAGACCCCAGGAAGCACCTGTGGCAGTGCCAGGAAGACCAGGTTTACACGGGATGTTTCCATTTTTCAGCAAGGGGAAGAGAAGAGGGGAACAAATCCAACCCTACTCACAGCTCTTTGGTGCTAGAAAACTTGTGGCAGTGCAGCAGAGAGAAGCTGTGGGGGAGAAGGGCACCAGCAGAGATGCTGGGGGACACCTCTGCCATCCACCACCACCCCCAAAACTACTGCAAGGGATATGCAACGCATCTAGAGACACACAAACGGCAAATGCATTGCACTGCCCCCCAGCCTGCACCCACCCTGCAACACCAGGCACTGCGGGAGACCCCCCCACCTCCCGGCATCCCTGAAATGGCCAAACACCCTTTCTGCAAAGAGGGAGAGCAGGTCTTGGAGGAAACTGGTAACCGAAATCTCTTGGCTAGAGAGGAAGGAGGTGGGAAAGGCAACAGTTTCCCAGTAACTCAGACCCCGGTGGAAGGTGAGGCATCCAGGTCTTCGCATCACTCCTCTCCTCTCTCAGCAGCAATGGGCTCCTTGGTCCACTTGTTTGTGACCTCCTGGCTGCCTGCGTAGCCTTCGTCTGGCAGCAGGCCTGGGGCTCCTTCCCCGTCCATGGTGACCTCCAGGTCCAGCTCCTCAAAGGAGGAGCCGCTGGCTCCCGACTCACTGTAGCTGTGCTCGCTGCGGTTGTCCGCCTCCTCCCGGCCACGGCTGGCTGGGAATGGCACCAGGATGGAGGTGGCCACTGAGGTGTCTCTGCTGTCAGTTGTGGCCTCTACGCTGATGGAGCTCGCCTCGCTCAGGGTGTCGGCCCCTGGGATGGAGAGAGAAGGGGAGGGAGTAAATGCTGTTGGAAAGATGAGACTGGGATAGGGTGACACAGCCTTTGCAACCAGCAGAAACCTCAAAGACATCAGGTCACAGTGGAGATCAGCTCCTACCTCGTTACCTCCTGGGCCTCTAAAAGTGACCATACTAAGATAAGCAGGAGCTGGACTCAAGCAGCTCCCTGAAATCAGGGCACCTTCAAGCTGGCACAAACAACCCCTGACCTCCTACAGCAGCCCCACTGTTGCTTTCTGTGCACACATGGCATGGAGGACCTGGCAAGCCCTTCCTTAGGGAGAATGCCCAGCCTGGGAGGTGAGTGATAACCCTGCCCCTGTCGCAGCACTAGGAACAAAGCAAGCAGTGGGACGCTGTGCTGCAAGGGTGATAGGGAGGTGCAGCAGTGTTGGAGCACCCAAGGGGATGGTGGCACATGGGCAGGCTCTCAGATGTGCTGTCACCACAGGCCAGTGTATGTCCAGCCTCCTGCCAGGGCATCCTAACAGGCCCTCAACATCTCCTACAACCCGCTCCTGCTCCCTGCATGGCTGCCCTGCAGCTGCCAGCTCCTGCAGCACTGTGGAGGCTGGCAGGACAGCAGCAGGTGGGACTTCGAGCGAGCCTTCCTTGGCACTTCCCCACATCACCCAGCTGCCAGCCACAGCCCCTTTCATGGCTGAGCCCCTCCAGGGGCTGCCCCTGCCTGCCCAGGCAAAGCCCTCAGCCCACCTCCCCATTCCCTGGCTCCTGGCCTTGTTAGCTCCATCGACAACACAATTAAGGAGTTGACAACGAGATGAGCGAGTCAGATTGAGACCAGCAGCTCGGTGCTGTTGCCAGAGCAACCAGCTGGGAGGCAAACCTTCCTGTAAAACATTATTCACTGTTAATTATGACATCACAGATTCACATCACTGATCATGACATCACAGATCCATGTTGTTAATTATGACAGTGGCAATAAACACTGGGTGGGCTCCTTCATCATCTCCCCATTCCACCCTGCCTGCCTTGTACCATTGGGAAGCATATGCTGGGCTTCTCTACTTCCCTTGAGGCTTCATCCATGCTGGGCTAGACGTGCCTCCTGAGGATGATGCCCTGAACCAGGAGGGAAACAAGGAGTCCTAGTTGGCAGCAGCACTGGTGGAGGACCAGCAGCTTGCCGCCAGTGGGGTCAGGAGGTGGCAAAGAGGATGGTCATGACCAAAGTGAGAGAGGAGAGGTGACTCCTCCACAGTGGCTCCTGCCAGCATGGCTCCATCCCCAGCCACTGGCACAGGGCTCCTGCAGCCATCTCCAGCCTCCTGCAGCCACCAATCTCCTGGAGGAGATCCACCAGGGAGGGAACTTTCCTTCTGCAACACCCTTAAACCCCCTTTTTTTGCTGTATTTTTTCCTGTCCTGGGCAGCTGTCATCAGAACTGCAGGTAAATGGCAGTCCTCTGAGTGGCATCATCCCACAGTCCGGCTGGCTGAGTGACAGCCATTCAGAGGACCAAGTAATGGTGGCAGGACAAGGAGCAACTGGGAAAGACCCACAGAAACAGCGTACTCACTGCTTCATCCTGCCTGTATGGCCTATTGGCTTTATCCTGCCTGGTGAACACCCAGAGAGGAGCACCCTTTCCTTGGCCATGTCATGCAATCCCTTCAGCAGCTGGCACAAGCCAAGTCCAGGGCCACCCACCCAAGTGATGCCTGATGATCCCCCCAGAAAGGAGAAAAGACCCATCGCCTGCCAACATGCACTGCCTTTGCTGCAGCATCAGGGAGCATCTCGACATGGAAACTACATTTATACTAAGTTAAAAAGGATGTTCTGCACACTGTGGGCAAAGTGCTTGCTGAAAGGCATGCTGGCCACTGGATGGGTGGCAGAGAAGTGGGAGATGCTGTTCCACCCGGCAGGACCTCGGCAGGGCAGTGGGTCAGCAGTGGGAAGGCAGACAGCTACAGGGGATGCAGGGGAGCCTTCAAGGTCCTTATCCTTGAAGCCAGCTTAAGGGTCTGCAAGGTCTCTGGCAGTGATCTCAAAAAAGAAAAAGATCTGATTTGGCCACACTGGTGGCCTGAGGTGACAAAGGCACATTCCCACCATGGCTTCATGACAGCTTACATCATTAATGGTTATCTTGTGTCCCTCTGAAACCTGGGACAAGAGTGACTCTGACCACCCAAGCCCTGCTCTGCCTGTCCATCACCCTCCTTGTTACCCTGGGGACCACTTCAGCTGGGAAGCTGTCACATAACCCCATGACACAAAGCAAAGATGCTCCTGAGGGGAGGAGCAGCAGCTCAGGAAGCAAAAGACAGGGACAGAGCTGACCTACGCGCTGCTTTGATCCGCCACTGCAGAAAAGCACTACTGTCCTCACCCCTACAGCCACCTCCCTCTCCCTTGCTCCAAGGGCGACAATAAATCAAGTCCTGTTTCCTTTCAGCCAGGCACTTTTTCACTGCTCTGTCACTTCTGATTGTGTTTGAGCAGCCTCATCTGGCAAATGTGCCCATTTCAGCAGCCTCGCTCTCCTCCACGCAGGACAAGGCTGGCTCTAGCACAGCCACCCAGCCTGGCCAGGGATGATGGTGGGGCTCCAGGAGGGCAACCAGAGCCTCACTGGAAGGTGCCTTGTGGATAAGCATAGGTTCAGCTCTCATCTGGGCACAGAGATTTCCAGCAGCCCTTGCATCCACTTCTCCATCCTGCGCCAGGCACCTTACTTGGTCCAGCAGCCAGCTGCTGTCCAACCCTGCATCCCACTTTCTAAGGCCAGTCCTTGCACCAGCAGCCAGCCCAGCAGCCAGATCCAGCATGGCTCTTCCCTCGGCTATGCAGAGAGGTGCCAGCCATC